GCCGGCCCGGCCCAATTACCTGCAGGAAATGAGCAGCCAACAACTGACACACCAGGCCACTCTCTCCCAGGGCGTGGTGGGGCTCCCGACCGGGCCGCCGCGGGGGGGGGCAGGGGGCAGCACCTGCTGCGCTTGGCAGTAGCACGTCCCAGGGAGAGCTTTGTCAATCAGGCCACTGCAGATGTTGCTCTGCTTCACGGTCCGGAGGCAACGGAACATGAAAGGGAACCTCAGCAGATCAGCCAGCAGCAGATCAAGACTTCCCACCACATTCGGAGCTTGGACTGCACTTGGGCGGCAGCTTCAAACGCACAGAAATCAAACCCACAGACAAACACTTCAAATCCACACATGAATTTCCAGCAAATCGCCATTTTTTGGTTCTGGGATCAAAACTGAACGCTAAGGTTTATTCAGACACCCCAGAAAAGAACGAACCATACGGTTATTGTACCCAAAGGGGTTCAGATGGAAATGCTTGTGAAAATTGCTATTATTTCTCCTCGAAGAACATTTCAGTTAATGTCCTGTTGAATAAGAGCAAAGTGAAGTACAGAAGAAATGCTTCAAGAAAATATTGGATACAAAGCACAGTCTTGACCACAATGCAGGTCATCTCGCCAGGGTGCAAAATGACGGAACTGCAATTTGTCCAAAGAGATATCTTTATAATAACTATAGGAATGAGATCGCCATGACAGCACATGCTTAACTTGGAATCGAATCATTTCCCCATCTGTGAGGAGCTGTAACTCAATTCTGTTAAACAGCTCAGAGGCTGCATGGCATAGCATGGCATTCCACAGCGCTGCCTGTGGACATTCTTGTCAACATATCGTAAATTTACCATCTCAAGCCAGGGACCTGGACGTCAAGGCAGCAGCCGTCAACGTCACAACCCCGGCATGACGACATATCAAAGACACCTGAAGGAGGACAAGATGGTGGGTGCAGAAGAGGGAAACGATCACCGTCACACAGTTGCAGTCACCTGTCTTTCACATGACGGCACGTCATTGGTTGTCCGAGTTCGCGATGTTTATAAGTCCTGCCAGCGAATACATCAAGGGGATCACAGTTACGTCATCACCGTCTCAAAAAGCGCCGACCGTGTTCATTCGGTTGAGTCCATCCTACCATTGACATGCACTTAATCTCATTTATCTCCAGGGCAACAGATCTGACTTTGCAACAAAGATCAGCCAGCAGTCAACAGTGGGTTATGCAGGTAGTAATTGAATCACTGTGTGCAGCATGCATCTAACAGATTGCAATTTAGAACAGGCTGGCTCGGCTCCTGACTACCATAACAATTCACACGCTCCGGGAAAGGCTGGCTCAACAGCAGTTGGTTAATGTGGTAAATGTAATTCAACCATAGAGTGGAATCTCCTTGAACCAAAATGAGCAATTTCTCATTCCAATTCTGCAAGACAGCGCAGCTTCTGGGTCCATCATACTGATGCAATGTATAACAAAATAAATAGCCCATATCGGTCTTTAATACAAACAGCACATTTCCAGCACACACAAAATTTCGACCATTGATATTACAGTCATGAAGACGATATTTAAAGGTCACTCAGTCTGTGGATCTTTAATTAGATTTTCTTTAAAGACATTTTCAGCTCATGCAGCTGCTGTCAGCTGAATGCATATCAATACTATCTACAAAAACCACAAATAGCTGTAAAGAATCCGAGATAACGGCAACAGCTCACGTGCCAGTCTCCAGCAAAATACTGGCAGAAGGTTTTTTTTTTTTTTTTTAATTAAACGCTACATAATTGTGCTGGTATGGTTTGATTTTGTGGTCTCAGAGTCTTGTGGGTAGATCAGGTTTCAAATCAGACATGTGCCTCCTATCTTGTGCAGAGCATCTGGAGTCAGGCAGGGTCCGTCTCACATCTCCCGCAGACCTGTGTTCACAGACAGGTAAGTAGGCACAGGGAGATGCAGCACAGCTAAGGGACGGCAGGTAGTTACAGGGACAAAGCAGAGTCAGCTGGCTTCCTCTGGCTGCGGCTTAGCACAGAAATCATACACACTGCACCAAAAGCTATCTTCGGGGCCCGTTACCTAGGCAACAGCTTCAATCACACCATTCATGATTCAGCTCAGACTCCTTCTAGAACACAGTCACCCCTCCCCACCACTGACACCCTGATAGCCACTCTCAATTGTACCCAGGCATATCTGTGTACCGCAAACAAGAACACTATATCACTCTGGCAACACACTTAAGACTACAAATAAGTACATGGATTAGGTGTATTCTACTCTTTATAGAAATTACTACATACCATGTTAATGTTACTCATTTGTCAAGGACTCTGGATAATCCGTATTGTCAGAAGACAAATGACTCCACCAGACCATAAAATCTGACAAAAAGAAATAATAATAATAATAATAACTCAAACTGCATGAGAAATCACAAAATCCCCCAATTTCCAGCGAAATCGCTCTGCCAAGAGCTTATCCTGGAACACCACAATGATCACAACAAATTCACAAGAGCGTTTTAAGAGTTACTATTAAATATATTTAGTCTTAAAATCTCACAAAACCTTGAGAGGAAAGGCAAGGTTGACGCCAACAACGCCTTTCCAGTTAAGATTAAATGGGTATAACGCAGCCATTGATGAACTTGCCGGAGATCGGCTTAGATCACAGCACAGAAAACATTTCTTTGCACAAAAGGCACTGGGTCTCTCGGTATGATCCTTACTATTGTAGTTGAGGCACAAGGCTTAGATTCATTCAAGTGAGCAGCAGATTATAAGAAACATGACAATCGTCTAAAAGTAAAACTTCCCTAACAGACAAAACAGGCTTCCTTTCAGTTGTAACATTTTTTGCCTCCTGAGAACTAACAATGTGATCCACTCACTACTCAGCTTAGATTTCCTGTGGCATACAATGACAAGGTGAATGCTGCACTATTAACATTATGCTACTGAAACACATTAAAATCTAAAGGTGTTTTCACACTACATTAAGTGAAAAAGTGCAGCATGAAAACTTTTCCAAAAACTGAAAACCAACTTTAATGACCTTTTATGCACAAACTGCTTATCATTTAAGAAATCTAAGTTTTATTTCCTATATTTATATCCATCCATCCATTTGCCATCAAAAGAAAACTGTCTTGCTAAAGCATATTTACAGCAAACATACATACAAACTTATCTAATAATGAAAGCTACACTTTTTTTGATTTTTATATATTTTTTTGTTACTTTGTATACATTTTGACTATCCATTTGAAATCCTTTTTTGCAGCCTCTCTGCATCCAATCACCTTTGGTATGCAAACTTTCACCTGGTGGCCCCCTGCTGACCCTCACAGACCAGACACTCCCCATGTGCCCACAGAGCATAAACCTTCAGCCCAGTACCAGAGCAGCCATGCTTATACGCACAATTTGTCTACTGCATCTACAGATAGCAGGCATGCCATAAACAGAATAGTTACTTCTCTTAATGTTCCCCTTCTAGACCACCATGCTACCGTCAAACTGCGCTATTACTCAGTGTGCTGCCGTCACAGGTCATGCTATTACGCAGTACACTGCCTTCAGACGCCCCTGTAATTATGCGGTGCACTTAAATTTCTTCATAACCAGCACTTTGAATCGGTGAGAAGATACATTCCTTTGGATAACAGCGTATGCTTGGAATGTACGTTTCAAAGAATGCACCAGCCCAGTAGTAATCAGAAGCTATATTAGAAAAAAACATTTTCCCTCAGTTCACTAGTGCAACATTGCAGTGACATCACAACAGGTTCATAAAAGGAATGAATAATGATCCAAAGACAACAAGCATGTGCATGTTTTTCATATAAACAAAACATAACCATTAGTCCATTGACTGACCTTCAGAAGAGCACACAAAGTCCTAGCATATTACATCAAGGTTTAGCCTTCCATGACTACAGTATGGACATTACCGATTACTCTGCAGAACTTCATGTATAAAGATTTAGATTTTTTAAAACATATCATGGCAAGAACTAACCTTTACACTTTCCGTAAGAAATGGTTAATAAAATCAAACTGTTTGACTAATGAAATGTTTGCGATACGATGGTAGGCAAGAGCAAAAAATAAAATTATCCTCCTGGTACCGTAGGAGCTGGATAACAATAAGGCCTGGGAACTTTACCAGCTGAAGGTCAAAGGCAAACTCAGTCCTAAACACCTCCGATGAACAAGCTTACAGCAGGAGGACCGGTCTGCTCTGAGCACAGGCAGCGGGAAAATGACGACACAGCACTGATCTGCAACACTGCAATGTAACATGCTGGCTTGAGGTTATAACCTGCTGCATTGTTGGTCAAAAAAAACTGAATTTGTCCATGAAACAAGCTACTCACATAGTTTCTAGCGGCCCATAAAGCTTTATATAAGCATTTTCCCCAAAAAAGTTTAGCAAATTTATCCCTCTACAAATGTTTAAGGATAAGTTTAAATTTAATTATTTATCTATTAATGTGTCAAAATATAGGAAAAAGAGGATCTCATTTCTGAAGCAGACCACTTCATGCCACGGTGCAAAAAAAATCGAATAAAACCAAATTTAATTAAATCACAGAAATGGATATGATGTAAAATTTCGATTTCACGATTACGAATAGTTGAATGACGCGCGAATAAAAACCATGTTCGTGTTGGCCTTCAACGCTTTCGTAAAATTAGGTTTAATTTGGCAGATTAACAAAGGCGAAGGTAGGTTTACTAATGCGAAAACGTGTAGCTCCCTGGTGAACCCTACTCCTGATAACAGTAAACAAACGGGAGAAGCCGTAGCGCTAGAGGAAAAGGGCCCCTGCAGCATATAGATGACTGGGGACCAAGACACCTCACCGATAAAACACCGGAACCAAAAGCGCCACTACTGATGTCGGCTTCAAGACCCTTCTTAAATAAGGGACATTTTATTATCAATATAACAATACACAATCAATTATGACATGCATTGAACAGAGTTCCTACCTGGGTAAAAGTCTTTGGATTTTGACAGTTTGATGGTGGCGCCCGTCTCTTTCTGAAGCTGAACTATCGTCTGTCCTCCTTTTCCAATTATAGATCCAGCAGCATAACTGGGTATTAGTACTTTTAGGAAAAATTGGCCGTCCTCTGGGGGGAAAAGAAAAAATTGTAAAATGGCGAGAATAGCATCACGTTCAAGGCCTATGATTCGACTGGCAAAGATCTAGACAACATGATATAAAGGTAGGGGACTGTGCGCAAAACCGTGCAGCACAGACGTAACGCCTCGGGTTATCGGTACGGTTACGGTCAATGCGACTACCACACAATCGTAACATCAATCATTAAGATCCAATAAGAAATAAGCCAATCTTTACTCAGATTTTGAGTTCCAGTTTCCATTGTCTGAAGCATTATTTCCGGAATCGCAACAGGACACGATCAAAAAAGTGGAGTTTCGTGATGCACAATGAATTCCTAATTTATGCAAAGCTATACGGCGACAGCGAAGAAATTCATCAGCAAAATAAAGAAAACGTGTGTAAATGTGTTTTAAAAGCAGGCATATGAATAAGCGAGGTGACATGCACATGAAACGTGAAAACCAATATATATTGTATCTGTTCTCCGGTTCAATTTCTGTAAACCCTATAGAGTCGCAGCAGACCGGACCGTTAAGGCACCGCAACGCTCGCAAGTATCTCCGCTTTCTGTTGAGTAGCGGGGCCTCTGTAGATATTATTTTGCAACCCGTTCGCCGTTGCACGGGTTTGATTACATGAAGTGAAGCGTAAAACCGTTTCTTTTAAAAAAAACACCGAGGCAGGTGGGAGTAAAAGACCAACATACGCCTCAGTGCGAAAGAAAACCCCGGCGTAATTCTCCCTGCGTTACCCCCGTCAGTAACTATCCATTCAACACTTGAGCTAAACAAACCAACAAATTAGCGGCGGACGGACCGACGGCGTCTAGTAACATTGGATGTGTAGGAACGACACGCTGCATCTATATTAACCATCTCCAGAGAAGATCAGAGTGAAAATGCTGCTGGGGATCGCTGCGGTGTCAGTGCCGCGGCAGCGTTTGGTAGCACTGGGACGCTAAACAACTGTTTTAAAAGGCGATGTGCGAGTAAAGCGCACAGATTTTGCGGGGCTCACCAGCTGGCCGCCTATCATAGTGACATCTGACATTTCACGTCCCTCACACTTATGGGAAAGTTCGACGCTAAATGCTGTTTTCGGGAAAAGCCGCGCCGCTTCATTCCGCTCCTTTCCAGCGACGACGACATCTGTTGTCTTTTATTAAGCTATATTAGTCTTTACAGTGAATGCAAAACGTTGGTCGCCATGTTTCTTTATACAATCTTTACATTGTATCATTGTTAAGTCGCGCGCATAGACGCAACAGCTCCGACATTACAACAAACGCTAACAAAGGAAAAGGCTATAAGCATGATGACTCGGGAATCAAGCCATGGTGGGCAGCCAGCTACCTACCGCCAGTGTTCGTCCTCTTGGTGCTGACCGCTTCGGGAGGCGCTTCCAGCGGTCTCTTACGGGAATCCGGTGGGTCTAAGTCTATCGGCACCCCAGTATGAGTCCCGTTCTGCTGGATGGGAGCTGCCGCCATCATGTTTGCTCGCTTAATCTCAGTATTTGGTTTATTTGCAGGGGAATAAGATGAAACGAAAAAAAAATAATAATATAGGAGCAGTTCTAAAATCGGTGCGTAGGTAGGTGGATGGTGCTGGGGAAAGCAGAATGTGTCAGATACTAGGGTGTGGGGGGAGGGGGAGAAAACAGGAGGAGGGGGAGACACAAAGTAGAAGAGATGTGAATGTCAAGAGCGCTGTATTATGTGCATGAAATGGGCTCCCGCAGTATGACCGTCCGGACCGCTCTGCGCTTTCTCTGTGCCGCCGGTACCGCCGCGGCTCCTTACTCATTATCTCAGGGAAGGAGGCGTTGGGGAAAGGGGGGGGGGATAGGTCAGAGGTCAAGCAGCCCGTCGACGAGGGGGAAAGCCGCCTACGGAACCACAAGCAAGGCGCAGCATACCTGTGCAGCACGTTGGGGGCTGGCGATGCCTGTGCATGCCGATCTCCCGCAGTTTCGCTTTAGACCTACCAAGCATTCTACGGTGCGATCGCCAGTGAAAGTTACAGTCATATTTACTTAAACGATGTCATTTTCCTACAAATGACGTGTTTTTAAAAATCAGCTAAAATTTTTGTTGCCAAGTAAATGTGTAATTCCAACTGCAAGACCTTCGTATCTCTCGTCAATAGAAACGTTAAAGTTTGCCGTTTAAAGGTTTTTTTCCCCCCCAGTGCGTATCTGTTTTAAATGTGACCTTGAAACTGCAAGACTCGTCTCAACTTTACTGCTTGTTTTCCATTTATACCATTGATAGGACCGGACTTGAGAATAAGGCCTCCCGTTTCCCCAACACAGCTGCCTACGCGGTTTGCTTTCTGTAGCTATTTGTGTCCCGTCACTTTGTGGAGTAATTAATTAAAACGGCCACCTGCCTGGAGCTGACCACATATTTATAGACACTAAATACAACCAAAAACTCGTCCACGATTTCAAAGCCTTTAATGTTTACAATCGCGATTTTTTTTTGACAATTGATAATTAAACACCCGAGAATCGTAAATTACTTGGTACTAAGGTCCCAAAAAAGAGGACCTATACGATCACCCTACTATAATGAAACATGGATAGAAATGTAATATACATAATATGAATATACAATGTGTATACCGCAATATAAGAACATATATAATGTAATACATTTATTGGTTAAAATGAACATACTGCGAATTTCCAGCCACCATTTACAACGTCAGTCTCTCGGGTGTTTAACGGAATAAATGTAGACATGGGAAGCCAGTTGGACAGTGTTTCCGAGTCATCGTGTAATGTATGTGACAATCTACTATATTTTAATTAGCTGTGAAATTAGCTAGCAGCAATATGAGAAGGAACGTGCTCTTACATTTTGAGAAAAAAAACATGGTTCACGTCAAGTAACGTGTAACAATTCTACACTGAATTTATGTAGAAACCTGTTCTCAAATCAAAATATAATCCTTTTTAGTATGAATCATCCAGAATAATCAATACAGCTACCCGAGTATCAGTAATAAATTTACATTTGGAAATGGAATACGCATTATCACTGTTAAAGTTTATGGCCTAATCTGTCAACACTACTTAGCCATTAAACATAGATCCACACTTGTGTCATGATTGAAATACTTTGAAAATAAAACTATTCATCGGATGTTTCATTTTAGTCCTGGAAGATTAATTTTTACGTCATGCAGGAGACAGCAGAGTCTGTCCTACTTGGTGTATAAACTCCCAAAGTATATCGCTGTCAGTTATAGCTGCAAAAACAGTGCCTGACGCTGGTCAGGGCTGCCGATACATCTGAAATTGTGTTACATGTATCAGTCTCTCATTCCTAATATGTAGTCAACAATTTATCCAAAATGTGACCAATGTTTCATAAAATAAATCCCAAAAATATGTCAACCCTGATCACATACTCCACAGCTGAAATTAAACAAACATGACTATGCAGAATGAGTGGCAGGTCTCTATCAGTTTGTTTATAAACATCGCAGAGGGCCATTTCATTTATTCATCTTGCATGATGTCAAATTAAAAATGGCTGGCTCCATATAACATCGTTTTAAATTCACATCACATAGTCGATGGAATCAGTGTATCATAAGCGCAGTCTGTGCCATTGCCTAGCAACAGCCTGGCCCGCGAGCCTCTGGCGTTCTCAGTAGAGCGCGTGCAGCGTAAGCCCCGCATCCATTCCTGCATGGTACACACCTCCCTTCCCCAGGAGATTCTGAAAAGCCCATCTCACTCATGACCTGCATACAAATGGTATCCCAAAACAATAAATGGCTCTTTATGTGTGTTATGGTTCATATAATAATAAAATATCAAAGGCTATTCCAGCAATATTCTCATAGATTTTTTTCCAATAAAAAAAAAAAAAACATTGCAACTTTCACAAAGAATGACTGAAATTGTCAGAGTAAATGACACGCCGACTGAAGTATCAAACAAGCTTTAATGCTCTCCTGAGATGATTTTTCAGTAGTATAAAGAGCAACCAACAGAACACAAGTACAGTAACAGAAATCCCGCTGTCTAGCGAGCAGACGTGGGGTTCCCCACCCGGAGCTTAATTTAAGCCATTAGGACTGTCGAAAGTCGAGCAAATTGGGCTGACATCCTATATAAGTAGCGTGAAGTGTTTCTATGGCGTACTTTTGTAAAAACCTTAATTCGAGCTGGAGAGCACTAGTCGGCAACTGTGAAAGTTGAGTCTATACATATTCTTCAGTCTTTCGGCTGCATATCTAATATAGAATGTGGAGCAGGATAGATAAAATGTTAATGTGAAATCTAAAAACAAAAGGAAAAGCAAAATTCTGTACTATATACACCAATATTCAGTCTTCTGCTCATTTTTATTATCATTCTTCATTTTTTCTGTTCTCAACCAACTCTACACCTCTGATGTTTGTATCTAGATGGATTGAAATACTAGTAAGGCAACTTGAATTTTTAATTTAACAGTAGTTTCCACAGACTTTCTAGAGTTACTTCAGGTTTAATGCACTTCAGTTTCTTTATATTGTTACAGCCTGTGAGAGACAAAGACAGAGAGATTTTTTCTTAAAGGAATATAAAATAAAGCAATTACCTTTTATGACAAATCACTGAAAGTAAAGAGACAAACGACAGCTGAACTCATGTCTGACAGCATGTATAGGTTTCAGAGGAAGCTCATTCTCACTCTTGCTTGTGCTTTAGCCATCATTCCTTCATACTTGACTGCCTATCTGCTTCAAGGATAATGAAGGAAACTCACATCAAAAAATTGATACACAGCATTGGGATCCATGACCCCAGAGGCACAGTGACAATGCTGATCTACATAAGCTGAATAAAAAAAACTGCAAACGACAGCATGGTGGGGAGAGCGATACCACTGGACTTCCCAGCCCCCAGTCTCACCTTGTCTCTGCTTATAGTGTGGGTTTGCTCTGGGTCCCTTCCTTGTTCTCTAGGCTACCTACGAAATACCCATTTCAGTTTGTGTGCCCAATAATGAAGCACTATATGAGCCTGCCTAGCAATCTGACCTTTCTATAAAATGTCACACATTTTTACCTGATTTTTTTTTTTTTACGTGTTTACATAGGCCTAGCGGACCACAGATTGCCCAATCTTTTGGTTGCTTCACCCAATACAGGGATGTGGGGCACCCTAAGCTTATCCCAGACAGCAGAGGGCATAAGGCAAGAGAACACTGTGGGCGGGATGCAGTTTAGTGATGCCAGTTGACCTAAGCGCATGTCTTTTGACCGCAAGAGGAAACCGGAGTACCTACAGGAAGCCCGTGCCAAGAGGAGCACAGAAATGGAGATGGGGTAGGACTGAAATCCGCGACTGTGGAAGCGCTACCCACTGAGCCACCCTGAGTAATGTCGATATTAAAAGTCAAAGTGAAACGAAATTCTTTTTCAAATCAGCTCAACTTTTTTGATAGGTTCATTTACTTAACATGACACTCACCAGATGAGGGGCTTTGTAAAATACATAAATTATATAGTATAGTGTACTCTGAGTATTGTAAATCATTTAAGCAACTTTTTCAAATAAGGGTCTGGATTTCAGTTTAATGTACTTAAGTTAGTGTATATATTTCAAAGACATTTCTGAAAAATAAAAATATTTTATCTTCCACTAGGTGGCACCACTGAAATTTGTTATTCACTGCTGTTTTGGTTCTTATTTGCAACCAGGGGAACATTGTGGTATTCTCCAATTCCATTTGAAACTGGCTTGTTTAACAGTAAGGGGCGGCATCTTTATTCACAGATAAAGAAAAGGAAGGCAGAAAGGAAAGTGGAACTAGGGCTCAAATGCACATTAAATGGTGATTAACAAAATTCAACAATAATACTTAAGCAATACGATACAGCTGCAGATCTGCAGCTTGTACTTACACTGAACCTTCAGGAACCATTCTTATTTCCACAGCAGGAGTACTCAACCCTGCTCTGAGGCAAGCCTGCCAATATTACAAATTAAGGATATACAAATAAAGAGCTATTCAAATGTCTTAGTTACAATCTGTGTAATTAAAACCTTAAATTTGTCACATTAACTTTGTGCCTTGATACGTCTATAGATGAGACAGTTATTTAGTCGCACATTCACTATGATGTTGCACAATGTTTCCTGAGTAGAGCTGTGTTCAAGAAGATTCTTGAATATCTTTCTACTATCCAAATCGCAGATACAAAAATTCATTACTACAGTGACACCCTACAATCCAAAGGGAAAAAAACTGAATATCTTCTACTTAATATAAACAATTAGGGAAACTGTTATATCAAGGTAATCATACTACACACAAAGGCAGGTATTATTTACCAGCTTTCCTGCTAGGGCTGCTTGAACTCCCTACAGTCTGATGATCCATTCTGAAATGCCCCATTCCCCTCTGTTGCAAAAAAGGCACAGAAATGTTGAAATACTTGAAAGTGAATGAAAATAACATTTCCCAGAAATTCCCGGTTCCATTACATCATTCTGTTTTAACTGTATCGACAAAGAACTGACTTCCACACTTCCACCTCCCATAATAAGCCATTGATGACACACATAAGAACATCAACAGAAACACCTACATGGTTGACTTAGAGCAGGGGTGGCCAGTCTTATCCGCAAAGGGCCGGTGTGTATGCAGGTTTTCGCTGCAACTCCCTAATTAGATTACTAATCAGAGGACTGATTGGCCGAAAAGTCCTCACACCTGGGTTTGAACAGCTGACCTACAGGTTATCCCAAAAACCTGCACGCACACCGGCCCTTTGCGGATAAGACTGGCCACCCCTGACAGAGTAATACAGGAAAGTCTCAATAATATAAAAATACAATGTGTGTCTCCATCTGCTGGCAAAGCTTAGCACCATTATATTTCAGGAAAATGTATCGTTGAAAATGGATATTTCATTCAACAACCGCCAACGCTAGTGAGAATGAACTTTTGCAAGTTAAACATGCACATAAACAAACTTTTCGGTATTCACCAAGTTAGGAGCTTCACTAAAGAAAAGGTTTCGCTTGAGTCTGAAATCTTCCAGCCTGGATCTAGTCCCTTGAGCACAAGGACAGCCAAAACCCCGATAAGAAGCCATTTTTGTTATCGTAAAAATATGTTCAGCTCCCGGAATACATGTATCTCTAGGGTCATAAATAACCAATGTACTAAATATGATGCTATTACAGGTCTCACCGTTTCACTCCGCCACATACAGCACTTGCTATCATGTGTTTGTTACACCTTACCTGGTCAGTATGTTTTGACCTGAAGTATTCATCTCTGAATGTCAGAGCATATACAGACTTTCTTCCAGTTCCGCTACGATTAGTGAAATCTCCCCCCTACAAAAATATGGGGAACGCAACAGTTGTGCGGGGTTAAAGTATCTTACGACCGAATCTCAGGCAGCAGGTTGTCCGCTTAGAACAAGGAGGCAAATGTTTTATTCCAGCTGTCCTTTATTGTGCACAAAGCAGACATTCATCAACTTCTGTTATGGGAGTGTGTGTCTGAGTATGTGTGAAGTTCTGAAATAAAAATATAAACATTATATAGTGTATTATACACATACATTATCCAACAATTAACAATAAACTATATACAGCGATTGCACATGTTTCAATACAACAGAATATTAACAGGTAACTTTAATATAATTGTGGCCAAGCAGGGCTCTTCCTCGCATTAGTACTATTGTTGATCAAATAAACAATGACTTCGACTAGTACAGATAACACATGATAGGATGGCTTTGTATAATGTGTTAGCAGCAGAGGTGGAGATTTTAGATCCAGAGAGTACAAATCCAGACCAAGATTTTGTTTCAACCAACCAGTTGGTTGAAACATTTTACACTCAACTGGTTGGCTGAAACAAAATCTTGGTCTGGATTTGTATTCTTTGGACCTGAAATCTCCACCTCTGGTTACCAACAATCACAGAATATAAGTATTTTAACTGGGTTAATATATATTTTAGATTACATATTACAGTTGCGGTAAGGACGCATTATTATCGCACTAACAAACAACATAGTCTAACGAGAATAACAAGGAACAGCTAAAGTACATCAACGTGCAAACGGTTAAACTGGAACTTACCGCTGGCTGCACGCACGCTACCTCACGCAAGGGCGTCGCGGAAGCAGGAATATCCTGGGAGTATCGGGGGGCAGTACTTGACAGGGGCACTTGGGTGGAGGGGGAGGGGGGCAAGGTGACATTTTGTCGGGGGGGGGGGGGTTAAATTTCTGGGTACGCCCCTGACCACACGAGTCCCAGCACGAATTAAATGTACAACAAACATTTTCGTTCTCTGCCACAGGCGGAACAGACCGAAGCTTCTTCGCCAAACTTTTTAAGTGCCGAAAGGGGCGGGCACATCTATATAAACAAGGACTTGATTGACAGAAATCTAAACCAATCCCATGCCGAAAAATACCACCTCAACATGGTGATTGGGTTGTTAGAATAGCACCCAGCTAAGATAAATTACACTGCAGACAGATCGTAATCAATACAACAGCACAGGAATATCTTCCGTTCGTCGGCTCTACAGCCCTTTTTAGCAGCAGAGAGACAGAGAGAGAACAGAAATAAAACAGTACTGATCCTATGACCCGGATTTCTACTGTGTTATCTAACAAGATATCAACAAGAAAGGCTCGCCTCAATTTCGCCTTACACAAAGTGCACTTTCCCCACTCCTATCAATTATCAATTTTTTTGCATTATTGCAATGGCTGTGTGAAGCAAATCGCTCAGTCGGTGGCGGGAAAACACGTCCAAAAAAATAGAACTGAGTGTCACTTCTAAACTAAACGGTTCAAGACATACCAGTGTTCTCAGAGCTTTCTAATGAGTGATTACGGATACGAATAAGAATAACGAACTTGACTGTAATCACACTGCATAGAACCAAATGTCATCCCAGTGGTAGTTACATCGTTATTTTCTGCACGTATTCCCATCAACGCCCATACGAACCATGTACATACATACCTTGAAGGAAAAGCAAATCTTCACCGTGACTAGGATGGCAAAATGCGGATGGAGGTGGCCACGGTCATCCCTAGTAAATACTCGACCATCCCAAGTACCCCACATCAAAATAATAGAAAATAAATATAGATTATTATATTTTCTAAGCGGAACCATATCGGAAACGCAGTGCGGCGCAGCCATCCCTTTACATATAAACGGCCCTTTGGTGCCGGTCCGAAACCCCGTAATTTACCTCGATGTTTCAGGTCGACGTGCGGATGAAGCAAAACGAGCATCGTTTGCAGCTTATTCGTCATTTTGGAGGATCGCACGCCTCGGCTCCTGCACCCCCACTCCCGGCTAAAGGACACCCCGATTATGGCATAAAAAACACACAACAGGCGACAAGTACATTGTGCATAAATTACACACGTAAATTAAAAGATGTTTGTCTTTTTAAAGTCTTCAGATGGTTACTGTGAGGTATGTGCATAACCATTTCAATATAGCCATAATGTAGCTCAGTATCCACATCTTGTTCACCTGGACGTTAATGACTGGTTGATGGCTCAGTGAGATTCATTTGCGCCGGTTTACAAAACGGAATGACAGCCCATGTAAGACCTCGCAGGAGGGAATTACTATGCACACGTGTTGCCCAAGGAGAGTTAACCTGCTATATGCCTTTGCCTTAAGAATAGCTGGATGTGTAGGTCATTTTACAAAACATAATAGTAATACTACATCAGCAACCTAGCAAAACTGTACCATGGAGGCTGCCATGTTTGTTGGGACTCGTACGGCTCGGGTGAATCTCAATATGCACACTTGACCGTACTTGTGTTGTCGTGTTCCCGTTTTACGTTACCTTCCATTGCTGAAGACTGGTTGCAATACTAAGAACACAAGTCCAGAGCACTGTAAAAATCCCAAGATGTTGGTCTTACTCCGCTCCAAATATGAAGGATACATCGATTGCATCCCCGCCAAATGAAACCAATCCCATGATTCATTGCGCCCCAAATTTGTTCTTGGAAGGCAAGTTAGCAAGACCGGTCTTGCCAAGACCACAAATCCGGTCTTTGAATTCTTGGTGTTGAGATTCCGCCCTCGTCATTCCTTTTTAGTAGAACAAATATCACCAACTTGACCGCCATGTCAGTACAGCCCCAAAGGTGACGCGACTACTCGCATAACTCATGTTCACATGATTAAAAACAGGTGTGACCAAATTTTGAGTTGTGTTAAAATTATGACCAGTGTACTCCTTGTATTTAAATTATGTGGCCTGTGTTTTCCATTTTTCTAATCTGTGGTGCATCATAACTGCAAATGTATGGAGAAATGTGTTTCATAAATGAAGATTTTTGTAAAAGGAGTGAATGAGATCTGAAATTTGTGCCTGACAGCATGAACATTGTTTTGCTAAAAGTGTGATTCATTCTATAACTGAATAACTTTAGTGTGTTGGCAATTCATAAACATTGTGAAGCATATCAGCCACCCCCTGCCTGTATTCAAAAATGTTCATATACACTGTTTCAACATACTGTTTATGAACTAGGCCATTTTGTATTGTTCAATAGTTAACATTTTCTGACAGCTGACAGGATCACACTGAATAATTCACAGCTGAATGTTTGTAATGTACTATTTGCTTATTTTGGACTTGCTTTGGACAAAAGCTTCTAAATAAATGAATGTAAATATCCAATTGTGCCTCTTTGTGTAGTTGATGCTGCAATTAATGGAAAGACCACATCTCATACTTACATTAACTACCGTAAATTTTTAAGACATGCATCATGCAGCTGAAGGTCATGAATCAATTAGCCATCTGTCCCGAGTATGCGAGATGTGAGATGACTAGTCAGTGAAGAATTCACATTTCATTAAAAAGCTTGATATTCCTCATGCATGCACTCATAACAGAAGGAAGATGGAACTTGACTTTAGACAAATTAGTGTAGCATTTCCCTCATGTGTTATCAGGCTAATTGCGATAATACATTTCTGGAGTTGAAGAGGGAAAAAAAACACCAGTGGTTTTTGTTTTCCATTTTTTAATCAAGTGATGAAAATAATTTTTTTCCTGTATAAAATATGTAACTTTCAGTTGAAAGAAAAAAATATAAAAATGCAAAGAGAGCAAATCTCACAGCCTTTTGTCAACCTGGAGAACCTCCTACTTTGGATGTGGAGCAAAAACATTATGGACAAAGTAAGGGAAAGATGGAAGAAAGTTGGGAGCATTAAAAATGATGGTGGGAGTGGCCATGGGAACAGACCACAGAATGCATATGACCCATGGGGGGTGGGGTGGGATGGGGGGCACCATAAAGTCATGTCCATTGGTCTGTTTGCTTATGAAAAACGCAAATATAACCTGTTGCCTCTCCATATTTTTTCTAAATTGCCGAAGCCACTCCCCTCACAATAGACTTTCTTTCCTTGGGACACATGTTGAGATCTGGCTAATGCAGCTGATGGCGTAACATTTAATGTGCATTTTAAAAATAGAGTTGATTGGTAGATTTCAAATCTCAATACTCAGTGAGTAATCAATATTGTTTGCCATGACAAAAAAAAAATCACACTTGTGTTTAGAATAAAAAAGACATAATTCTATCTTTTATTAATGAACTGTTATCGGTTTGCATATTTGGGAATTTATTTGTGATTGTTCATCTCTGCATTCTTAATGATGCTCCATTCTTAATGATGCCACTGGTTCCATGGGAGCAGGTATTGTAGAAAAAGCAGACCGTAAATTGAGGTGTACTACTAAAAAAATGACAGTTGTAAAAGAATGATGGTCCCAGGGCGACAGGAGGTGACTGTGATTACGGCGGCAGGAGGGTTCAAAGGTCACTTTCTCCATAGAGTGCGGTTGAGAAGGACATATAGTCCAGAGCACCAGGAACACCATCGGGACCAGAGTAAGGTGCCATGCGGGCAATGCAGTATTCCGCCTGGTCAGGGGGCAGTTCCCTGCGAAGCTCGTCTGCCAAAATGTAGTTCTAAAAAAAAAAAAAAAGAAAGTATCATAGTGTTACTGAAATTGAAGTTTTGTACAACGTAGCATTTCTGTTTTAAAAACTGAAAATTTCACACACTTCGAATGTAAATTCCATCAACTGATTTCAACAATACCAATATATGTTTACAATGTACATTTCAATTTATAGTCACATTTATGAATTAGTGTGAGACCTTAGAACTTACATCTGCAACTGTCATCTTGATCAAGCACAACTGAACACAACAACAGAATAACTCACCTTATCTCCAGCCAGCACCTTGAAAGAGGTCATTACTTGGTCGGCAGTGTCTGTATCAGCAGTCTCTCGCGACATAAAGTCAATGAAGGCTTGGAAGGTGACGACGCCTTGCCGGTTGGGGTCCACGATGCTCATGATTCGAGCAAACTCGGCCTCTCCCTGCGAATGATAAATTCAACAAGCAATTTCCTTTATGAGTAGTTTTCAATATTGGTTTTAGAAATCCACTGCATCCTGGTTTATGTTGCAACTAAGTTCAGAATTAACTGAGCTTTTGATTGGAGGAGCCACTAAAAATCAGATTAAATATGCAATAGTTTCAGTGTTTCAAGCACTCTTAAACCATAATGTATCTAATCTTCAGTAATATAAACTGTAAACTGCTAAATGGTTTAGTTTCACAAAGGAAATAAAAAATAAAACAAATACTCATGACTAATTTTTCCTTGTTTTCCTCATATTTTATTATATTATAAAAAGCTATGCTCAACAATTAATTTAATGACATAAGGTAACCTATTCAACCAACTCAATCACCCAATTAAAGAAAATGTATAAATTCAAAAAATGCATAAACACTATTTAAAAATTTTCTTTCCAGCTTTGCACAGTGATTATTTTAGCAATACATATTTCAGCATTTACAGTTAATAGCATTGGAAGACGAAGGGATAACCCCGCTCGTTGCCAATTTCAGATTAGTAAATGGTCCTTCCTTACTGGCTAATGAAATGTCTTAGAAGTTAATTTCTGAGACGAAATTTCAAAACAGATTTCTGTCTATATAATACTGTACCTGAATATCCACTGCACCATTTATCAGTACTTTGATATGGGAATACACAGTGGAATATTTACAGCAAGGTCAAAGCTTTACCAGATTATAACCCAGGGAGATAAGGTAGACTCCGAAGTCTTCTGCGTCCATCATTCCTGTTCTCTTCTACAGTTTGTTGAACAACAAACAGAACAAGGCAGTGCACAGGACAGTGGTGTTCAGGAGGAATAGGGGAGGTAACATAGATATGATCCAAAAGAAGATCAAGAGAACAACAAAAGATGAAAGGAGTGGAAAAGGTTCCAAAATAAGACCAGCAGCACAGCAAGAAAGAAGGTAAAATATTGAAAAAGGAGGATCAGGGAAAATGTAGGATCAGGGATATGAAGACAAAAAGAAAACAAAGTTAAATGAGGAGCCCACTGGGTGGCGCTGTAGCCAGTACCTGCGCGTCGTTGGCGATATCGTAGCCCAGGCTGATCAGGCAGGCTTTGAACTCCTCAGCGCCCAAAGTACCGGAGTGGTCCTGAGAGCCATTGCAGTGCATCGGGAGGGGGGGAGGTGCACCGCAGGGCATGCAGTGCACATGGTGAAAGCCAGTGAAGTGGCATGTGGGGAAGTAGGCGGAAAATCCAAGTGTGTCATGCAGATCGATTGGGATGGAGAGGAAGTTGTTGGACCATTGGAACCATGCACGATATGGAGGAAGGGGGGTGGGGGGGGGAAGTGCACAACCATTAAGATGTTGCAAGTGGGTACAAAACCTGGGCATTCAGAGATGTTAATGTGCAGAGTGGCAGGCAAAACCGGCCTCATGGTGAAAGTTATATTCTTTTAACTCCAAAATCAGCTTTGTGATTATATTTCAAAGGAAAACCTAATTGCCCAATCATGAAAGGATGATTGGGGCTCTGAGCCAATTTGTGTTTCCTATTGATTGTACCCATGAATTTGACAAGGTGCGACGAAGGCTATGAGATACAGAGCATGCTAGGAGGATCTTATGCACGGTGGACCAAAACATATCTGTAAAAGTGTTCTTTAGAAGGCTTTGTATGGAATCATTGTCTGATCAAGAATTATATGGTCTACATTCATTTGTGGATGAAATGCAAGAATTATCACAAAGCATTTTCTTATTCAAATGACTGAAATTTTTACATGAACAATAGCTTTCAGAGAGTGAAAATTATATGCAAACACCTAGAAAAGCTCACCCCTTAATTTAAAACAATTATCGCTTTTCAATTTAACTTAATCAAAGAATTTCATCCATGGCATTACAGATTATGATGCAGTTATGACTGCATAAAATCCTACAATGATGCAGTTATGACTGCATAAAATCCATTGCATGCACAAAATTTCGATAATTAAATTTCTATATAAGAATTAATTTTTATCACAGAAAAATGATGCCCAACAACAGCTTCCTCTACCCCTCCACTTCTCTGCTTTTTCCTGTTTCTCATGTCATCAAGGACTCACCCGGTCAAAGTGGTTGAAGGAAGCGCGGAATTCATTCATCTGCTCTTGGCTAATACCCTTGGCATCCCGTGTCAAGATCTGGTTTTCAATTTCATTGATGGTGCGAGCAATGGTTGTAAGGAGCTGTTCCCAACCCACGCGCACATGCTGTAAAGATACGAGAATAAAAATGAAAAAGAATACTTAGAAGATTAGCAGCAAGACCAAATTTAGACATTTTTCGGAAACCTCTGCAAACCCTTCAACATATTTTTCAGATAGACTTTAAGACCATGTTTTTCTTTACCTCCATGGTGTAATTAGTGTGCTTGTTGTCAAAGATAAGGGCCTCTTGGATAAGCTGGTGATCTCCCTCAAGCTGATCAATTTTTGATTTGTAGTTCACGATGCTCTTTTCATATTGCCGAAGGTGTGTCAACTGATCCTCCAGGGTCCCGTGCATCTCAATGGAAATCCGCCCAATTTCCTGCAACAAAGTAGACGCCGATTAATTTTCAAACCTGAAAACCATTCCAAGAGAAAGATACAGGGCATGTCACATTTTGAATGCATGACAGCATTAAAATATGCAGTTTTTTTTTTTTTTTTTTTTAAAGAATCGTAACCTTAAATCGATAAGCCCGATTTCACCTACCTCCATCTTGGTCTGCATCCATGGCCCAATGACATTGGCCTGACTAGCAAACTGTTTCCGCAATCTTTCATTGTTCTGCTGCCGAGCGTGTTCTCCACTCAAGGCCTGGTCACGCTGTGGCACCAACTGCCGAACCTGTGACCACGTCGGCGAGCACAAGCAGCAGTCAGCAAAAGACCATTTATAAGCACACAGAACGAAGTCTACCTTGCTAAAGACAATAATCGCACTGATAACATTCACACAGACGCTGTCCCACAGCATAAACACACAATCACCCGGCTGTTACCTTGTCCCACTTTGTATTGATTTCTTGAGGGTTGATGGTTGTATAAGGGTTTGATCCAGCCATGTTCACGTGGTACGTCTGAACGATCTTGGCAATCTCATTGTGTATGCCCAGAATGGCTTGGCGCTCCTTGTCTGCGTCTGGCAGTGTGGCTTTAAACTGTTCATGGGCTGTGCTCAGTCCCTGACACCAACACAAACATAAACCGCAAAGTAACACGTGCATCAAGGCCAAGTTAGACACAGCACTCCACCCAAACCACACTGGGATTTGTGGGAGGAGATCAGAGGGAAAGGAATCTCACACAAACCAGGGGAGGCCGTCCTCCCAAACGTACCAGTATCTCCTCAATAGTGTGGACAATGAACGTGTCCTGAAGATCCTCCATGGCCCCCTCCATCCAGTTGTTAAATGGCGCTGCCCTTTTAGCAAACTCAAGGTACAACTGGTCGATCGTTTCAAGCAGCTTCTCTGTTCTCTGTTAATGAAATGGATTAAAGGGAGAATATGAAATTGCTTTCCAGCGAGACTTAAAAAAAACTAGAGATGCGCTCCAGAGCATTTTGATTCAATCCTTCCTTACCTGCAAAGCCTCACTTCGCTTCTGAGAAAGAACTCCAAGAGCATCCCACTGGTCACAGATATGCTGGCAACGGGTATTAACGCTGGGAGAGTCGTAGTAGTCCAGCTCACTCAAAAAAGAAGAGAGATACTTCATTTTAAACAGACAATTATTTTTAAATAACAGTCTTTCTGCTGTTCTTTATGCATTTGAAAAAAAGCTATGATGGTAAGTTTAATCAGGACACTGAGGAATGGATTCTCACTTCAACTCCTGTGCAATGGCTGCGATCTGTTCCACTCTGTCCTGATGGGCAGCCAGATCGCTCTCGAAAGCTTCGTGTTTCTTCAGCAGGGCCTTGATATCCGACAGCGATGCCGTCTCATAGTCACTCTTCTGTAGCATCTCCTCCTTACCTGCAGGAAACCCAAACGCAGCACTGTACCCTCACACCTCCACAGCTGGGGCTCAATCCCCACCCCTGGTTCTACATGCGGCGTTCTGTGTTCTCCCCATGTTCTCCCCATGTTCTCCCCATGGTTTCATCAAGGCACTCCCGTTTCCTCCGACAGCAAAAATCAATTAAGGGCATATTGCCCCCCCTCTCATTCCCCCGCTGGTCTGCACTCACATTGCACTTACTGATCCTGCCCTGAGCAAGACTTTGTCATCGCTGTGCAACTTTTTTGTGTTGAAGAAAACATAGGAAGGGAAGCACTATTGCACAACAGAATGGAATTCATTAATGTCTTCGTTTTGTGACTTATTTGCAGTTGTTTTGGGCACAATGACGCATGTAGATTTATCAAAAATAGGCAACACAGTGATTTTTATTTAATCGATCATATAGCACGTATAATAAAGTCCCATATTTTACCAAATATCTTACTAGAGATATTTGGTAATATCTTCCATATAACGAAGCACATCCATACAGTTATGGAAAACTGATGGATGGATGGATGGATCTGATACCTTCAGTCCAGGCCTCATGGATGGCAGCTTTCTGGCGAAACTTCTCAGCTAGATGGTCAAGTCTCTCTAGCCGGCGGATCTCATTCAACAGCCACTCCTCATAGCCTTTCTCAGCCCCTTCCAGCCCAACCCAAGCATTGGAAATGTCCTGACGCAAGGTGAAAAAGCCAGACACGCGTTACATGTCTAACAAACCTCCGTATGATTAAAGCAGTGCTCCCCAATCCAGTCCTCGGGGTTAATGCTTTTCCTCCCTCCCAGCTCTCAACTTACACCAAGAATACTGTGTTTTCTTCACTCAGTTTACCTAAATACAACTGATAACTGCATGAAACGCATAAATGGCTGGACTATACAGCAAACCCTTGTTTTCTACATTTAAATTATGTGTACTTGTGTGATTATGGTTAGTAACTTCACAAAAGAAAATACAACACATATTATTGTCAAACGTAACCAGAAAGCAAACCATCTTCCAGGAAATACATGCGGCATGTGGCAGAGGGAGGGGTCCTACCGAGACCATCTTCCCCTCTGAAGGCATGAAGGCAGGTCTGTTGCTGAGCCTCAGCTTTGTCTGGAGGGTATTAAAGTTGATCTCCAGCTGACACTTTTCCTGTACTTTCGGTGGTTTATGGAGGCGCCGATAGTCCCGGAAGTCCTCCAGCTTCTGCTGCATGGCCTGCATTGTGTTCTCCGGGGTTTTGTTCTCTAGCCAGGGGATGGTACGTCGGATCCATTCCAGCAGCTAGGAAAGCACATCATTTTTGAAAGGATAAGGAAGTGATGGAGCAGGGTTGGAAAAGCCGGAGATGGACTGCAGTTTGAGGTGAATTGAAAAAAGGAAAACAGATTGTATGGTAAAGTATAGTGGTAGGAATTGCGACAAAAGATATATATACAATGATTGTAGTTTGATAATCGTACCTGAGGTCAATATGAGAAAAGTCTAAATGGACTGAAGTGTAGGAAAGAGAGGGGTTTGCATACATCACTGGCTAGTTTCTCGTAGTCCTCCATCAGTTGCTCATTCTCTTGGTTCACTGCCAAAACCTTGCAGATCCGGTTGGCTGCTGTCTCTGCCTGAGGGAAAGTGGATGGTAAAGTACGGGGTGTGCAGTATCACAGACATGGTGTGTAGTATCACTGACGGGGTGTGCAGTATCACTGACAGGGTGTGCAGTATCACTGACGTGGTGTGCAGTATCACTGACTGTGTGTGCAGTATCACTGACTGTGTGTGCAGTATCACTGACTGTGGGTGCAGTATCACTGACGGGGTGTGCAGTATTACTGACGGGGTGTGCAGTATCACTGACTGTGTGTGCAGTATCACTGACGGGGTGTGCAGGATCACTGACTGTGTGTGCAGTATCACTGACGGGGTGTGCAGGATCACTGACTGTGTGTGCAGTATCACTGACGGGGTGTGCAGTATCACTGACTGTGTGTGCAGTATCACTGACGTGGTGTGCAGTATCACTGACGTGGTGTGCAGTATCACTGACGTGGTGTGCAGTATCACTGACAGTAAAACAATGCCAGCACTCTGAAATCTCATTGCTCCTCGGGATTCATAGGGCACATGACAACATCAGGCTGCTTCATTTAATGAAAGGAATCTCAATAAGTGATCAAAAGAAATCCTCGTGTACAGGTGTCCAGTTTCCTGGTCAACACCTCCTCAGATATTACAGTGTTACTACAGTCCCTCTATAGTTGAAGTTAGCGAACTGGGATAAATAACTATGTGACAGGTGTCATATGTGAAAATAATTTTATATTTGCCGGGCAGTTACATAGCTGATATATCGGCCACAGATTTCAAATCTGATTGTAGTGTTGTAACACTCACTACGAACAAATCAACATAAGATCAGCTTAAAGTCAGTTTGTTACTCAATAACCAAAATATCAACATTCACTGAATGCTTGTACAATACAGGCAGCTCTCGACTGAAACCAGAATCCAAATCCACTCACAAAAGTGACACACATCTGTAAGTAAATTGTGACTTTCTTTTTATTTATTCAGTATGTTCTTTAATACGTATGACTAGTATATATTTGGTTTATGGTTTTTTTTTGCTATAAAGGTGTTTTGAATGGTATGGGAACGTAAATCTGACTTGCGTAAAGTCTGACTTACGCATGGGTTCGGGAAATGTTGTAATGCCAGTCGAGTGCTGCCTATAATCAGAAAAAGCTACATAATCCTACGCAAATAAGCAAACAGAAGCAACAAGTCTACTTAGACAAAGCTGCTTTTCCTACACAAAGTCTTTAATAAGCTTGTAATGTGTTCCAACCAACCTGCTCGATGAGTCCATTACAAACCTTGAATGAACTTTAATACTCAAAGAAAGATTGCATCAGATTACGCTTACTACTCACAAATTATCAATGAAACGATTGAAAAACATCAGATATATCACCGATTAGATAGATCTTACTTGTGGTTTGTTCTGAGTGTACGTGCAAGTTTTTAAAGTCAACGGCAGGAAACAGATTGAGAGTGGACTTTTGCGGAAACCTATGAGATTGCTCCAACTTGAATATATGATTCTGAGACCATATTCTAACCATTAGGGAACACAATGTTTGCCCACAGGGTGCTTATACTGCTGCTTATGGGTAAGATGACAACCACAACAGCTGCTCCTTTCATCATCTTCTTGGGGAATAAAGTAACGGGAGCAGAGGCAGAGTCTAGCTACTTCTCACCTTCTGCTTGCCTGAGAACACATATGTCATGACAGCTTTCTCATCTGGTCTCAAGGTGCTAATAAGATCTGCCCAGGGAAGAGAGAGAGAGGGGGAGGGGGAAAACAGAGGAAGAGATATGTGCAGAGTAAAAGTATGCAGAAATAAGATGAGCAGAGGCGATAAATACCAGGAGGGTAGGGCAAGGCAGTGGACACATAGTCTCCAACACGATACATAAAGTAGTAGTAAATCTATTTCTACTGTCCCATAGGCCATTATGGCTTTGCTTTCACTATTAAGCTAGTATGACATGTCTGGCAGATAATACCATATATTCATATTAGATAATTAGATTTTATATATAAATATATTATGTCTATAATGTACTGGGTTGTTTGGATCTGGAGCCTATTGTGGATATATTTCTCTTTTCTTTAAAAATAAAAGATAAAAACATAAAAATGAATACCTGCAGCAAACAATTTATCCACATTTCCTTTGATGAACCCGATATTTGCTGGTGTTATGTTTAGGGAACACTGGATACAATGTTTTCTAATGCATTGTACAGCTCTTACTCCAACGTGCTTACTACTGGGCATTCATCGAAAAGCAGAGAGTGTTTGAATAATGGCCATAATAAAAGCCATAATGGATTTGAGACGCAAGCTAAACATGTATGGTATAAGGGAAGATCTGGATTGGAGACTTGCTTGTGCCCACTGCTGTGAAAGTGCCACATTTCCCACCATGCAGTTGGTAATTAAAACCATTTGGAAAGAGAAGAGTGACCCATTAAGGTAGAGCTCTGCACTGCAGGAAGAGAACAGCCCTGTTAGGAGATAGTGATGCAGTAACCACAGGAGAGAGCTGGGGAAGGAGGAGACCAGTGCATCGTGGGATACCTTCTGGGCGCCTGAGAAGGCGTGGTAGAAGCTTGAGACGTAAGTCATGATGGCTTTCTCATCCGGGCGTGCAGTGCCTACGATGTCTGTATGACGAATACAAGCCAAGGGTGAGGTACAGTACGTGGTCGTATTAAACAGGTCAATCAAAGCTTGGCTATATCACCGAATCCATTCCTTTAATTCATTCAGCTTATAGCAAACATATTTTGGACGGTGGCATTAAGACTCCTACTGATTTGGAATGTGACAGTGTTGCATTGTATTAACAGTACTGAAAACAGACAGAAATTGACAAAAAAAGCAAGAGTTAAACGCATCTAATTTTCATTTTTAACTACATGAGCACAACTACTTTGACATTGATTTCTTTAATGATCTTTGATTACTTTGAATTTTTTTAAATATTGGTATCTTATAAAAAAGAATTCACTTTGACTGCAAAAAATACATGTAAGCAATAATAATATATATAATAATGTAGGATGTGGCACTTATCCATTATTTTATTCTTTACAGACACTCCTCACTTAACGACCTACCTGTTTAACGACCGCCCAGACTTACGACCAGCTCTCTGAACAGTTGGTATTGCGCGCTGCACAAGAACTTTGGTCGTGGAATCAGCAGTGTGGTGTCTCAGCATCAAGCATCTCATCTCACATCACCCTTTCTCAGTCAGTCTCAGTCTCAGTCTGTCTCAGTCTCGCTCCCGTAGTCACTCAGTATTCCCTACACTAGCATTCACAATCTCCAATCACCTATATTTACAGTATGCAAACTTAAGTAAAGTATATTAGAGCTGATTTCCGATACTCTGCTTATTACAGTATACAATACACTACTGTATAAACATTTATAAATATACTAAAAATGCTATAAATGGTGCACAGGTGACATTAAAACACTATCTAAAGTCGGCTAACACAAACCCACTACCAGTACAGTATGCTTTAACTATCTATAAGGGGCAGCTCCTCCCTTATCGACCAATTTGCTTACAGACCTAGTCATAGGAACGGAACTCGGTCGTTAAGTGAGGAGTGTACTGTGGTTAGTACTGTGGTTGGCTTTAAATTCAGTTCATTAACCCACTGCTCCCATCCACGGACGAGACACATGATGCTTATTTTCATGACGACAAGCCGGCATACAATTATATAAAGGTACAAGAATACAGGAAAAATGTAAGAATAAAAATCGACCTGAGTAGCCATGTCTTGCAATCTAACCATTTTCCTTTCAACTCTTCCATTTCCTCCTTACCCTCCGCGTCCAGCATTTTGGGGATGTCCAGGTACTTCTCTGCCACGTCAAAAGCTGTGTTGAGGTTGGTCATGGGGTCATCCTATTGAACACAGAGAAGTCTATGCTTATACTGCATAAATGTAGTCAGAACAATTCTTGCTGTGCATGTTAAAAGCTTGACCTGTGCAGATTTTCAGTCAGGATTGATCTTTTTAATCTAAAATAATTTTTATTCTTCATGCTTTTACTGAACCATTAATCAGTGTGATTTTGTGTATGTGGGCAAAGTTTTACTTGTATCAGATTCTCTCACCTTGCGAAGTTTCCCATAGTCAATGAGCTCTGGACGGTGTCTATGAATGAGTGCACAGAATCCCAAGCCATCTTTCCAGCTTAGAAAGAAGAACAAAGGACGTTATAACGCTGACACAACAGACATATTAGGAAGGTCAAGCAAGAAAATAATAGACTTATGCATGTCTGAACAGCGTTTGTGCAAATCGACAAGGTCCAGGGTAAATAGGCCAAAGCTTAGTGTTGTGCAGTTATGGTTTGGCCCATTTTTTGCCCAGAAGTGTACATCTAAATAAATTCTAGCTTAACACTAGAATTTTGGCTTTTCTGGGTGATTAATTCATCAATTTAATTCCAAGCAAACTGTAGATACATGGATCAAAAGAATTCCTTTAGATCTCCTTCAAACTCATGCCTGGGATTGCGAATCAATACGAAGCATCACCTGATATGAAAGTTCTGAATGTTGACATTTTTGTAGGGCGCCGTCTTCCTTTGACACCACAGAAGCAGACCCTCTTTGGCTGACGTCTCTGTGAACACAAGGGTTCAAAAAAGGTCCGGAAATCAGCAAGAAAGACAATAATAAGCAAGACAAACTGGACTTTTAGTCAACGAGCTCGTAATTCAATTTCAGGGGGCTGCAGTCTGCCATTACAAATGTACTATAGATATGTTGAAAATTGTCAGACAATTGTTTACCATCTAACGTAATGTATCAGAGCAGTTACAGCATTTTACGGTGATGCTGGTGTTTTTCATGTATGAATTCCATAAAAGAACACAATAGCAGCTATGTCTGCTAAGGCTTACCTTCAACAGAAATGTCTTGGATTGCAAACCGGAGAATAATTGTCCAGATCATTCCAAGTGTCATCTTAGCATTACCATCAACAATCTCTGTTGGAAAACAAGAACAAAAGTATCAACCATAACATTTATCTGACCAAAATTGCATCTAACTGTTCCGTTTTGTAACTGAAAAAGAACCTGGAAGTTAAAAAAAAAAGGAATTACAAGATAAACTGTTTTACAAACCTCAATTCCAAAAAGTGGTTATATAAGTATCAGTATACAATCCAATAATGCAGAACATGGGCAATACTTTTGAAAGCATAAGAAATCCTTTAAATTCCATTTGTTTGTTGTATTTTACTCCTAAGCACCTCCAACTTTCATTCACCACCTACATGATTGCCCGTCTTTACAAGCTTTCCTTTTCTACCCCAGGTATAAGACTGAACACCCAAGAAGAGATTCGAAACATCAGTCCTAAGGCAGCCATAAAATAGTCCTTTTCCAGGCTGTAATGAGAATCGACTCCCCGGATGGACAGGAGACAACAGGCCAGATCAACTGCAATCTTAAACGCGGCTGCTGAGGCGAAGATTGAATCTACCAATCACCTAGTTTTCAAAATGAATCAAAGTCTAGTCCGCTTTTTCAAACTAAGCTTAATATTTCTTAATATTTCCTTTAAAGGAGGCCACTTTAACAATGACAATGCAGGGAAAGTCAGAAAAAACTAGGAGAAACTTTAGAGTTTAAGAGGATTGATTCTGAACCAAAATATTTTCCAAACCATTATAAGATACAACTGAAGTAGTTAAAATTGAAAAATAACCTTTTTAATCACAAGACTGGGATTTTTTGTGCATATTAATGATTTAAAAATCAAAACTAAGTCCATACTACATAAATTATAAACAAAATGAAATATATGCATTATTGATTTGAGTTTCTTTTCAAATCTAATTTTCTACCTGGACCTAAATATCTCCTCACTAAGAGGTAATGTAAAAACTGATTCTAGAAAATAATTATCTTTTATTGTAATAAGCTTACCTTCTGCCCCAATGAACACCAACTTTACTCCTTTGCTGGCAATAAAATCCAGAGCTTTATTGACATTAGAGATCTTGTGAACGCGCATCTTCCCTCTCTCTGGTTTAGCCAGCCGTTCTCCTAGATTGTGAAAAATCATAAGAGGCAGTACACTTCTGCATTTTATGAGTAAAGAAGAATAGCATCAATATTTTGTCTAATGTAGGCTTAGAAAATAAGATATGGCTGCTTTCATTTCACACAAATATAGTTCATGTAGAGAGAGTTGGGTAATTCAGGTCCAGAGAGTAAAAGTCCAGACCAATATTTTGTTTCAAGCAACCAGGTGAGCATAAAGAGTCACAGTCACAAAGTACTCAACTGGTTGGTTGAAACAAAATCCCGGTCTGGATTTTTACTCTCTGGACCTGAATTACCAAACTCTGCATGTAGACATGGAACACATTTGCCTACCTGAGATAACTTCAAGCAGAAGCATGAGCTTTAGGCCATCTCGAAAGTCCTCCTCAATGTTTTCAATTTGTGTCCCTGCTTTCCGAAGATGTGAGTTGCACCAGGCTGTGAATGTCTGTGGATCACAGGAGTTATATTGAGTTTTGCAAGTGGAATTCTCACCGATTCCGTTTGCAGAGCAGACCACGGTGCATTCAAAACTTGAACACATTTCTTACATTTAAACACAAAGAGCTTCCCTGTTTATTTCTGGCCGAATCACAAGAAAGCTGGAACTCACTCAAGCAACTCCTAAATGCATTCCGCTGATGCTTATACACCCCTACAGTGTTCTGAGGTCAACCATCTGTATAGGTCAAGTAATGAACATTAAAAGCCTGATTGTTTCGTGGATGTACATTAGACTGTTTGGTGATAACTGAAGTCACATAAAATTATGGCCGTCAATATCGATTAAAACAATAACTGAGTAATCTACTGATTAATCTGACGATTCTTCGAGAAATTGTTTTGATATAATATCATGTAATGCAATGTAATAATATAATACAATATAATATAATATATACATCAGAATTGGCACGAGGCAGGAATCAACCAACCATTGCAGGGTGATCAAAAACTTTCATACCAAGCTGATGCAAAATTTTCACAACCAATCAAGAACCAATCAAGAAAGGTTGACATACCAAAAGAAACCGTTCAAATGGCAACAAGCACTAGCAACGGAAATTACGTTTTTTTTTTTTTTACTTGTTTGCTCAAAAGAAAAGAAACAAAAAAATGAACATATTGGAAAATATTAATAAATAGCCACAGTTTAATATAATCCAAGAGCCATATTACAAAACCTTAAGAAGTTAAGGAAAACCCAACATAAAAACACAAACAACTAGAACAGCTGCAAACAGCTTAACATGTCCCTTGTTATCAAGACAGACAGACTAATAGGGACATATGAATCGATCCTGAAATATCCATCCTTTCAATCATCGCTGTGAAAAGGCCTTTAGTCAGACGAATAATGCACCAATGCCACCTGTTTGTGTACTTTCGGTACGGCGGGGATACAACAAACAAAACATAAAAAACTTTATTAATCTGAACAAAGTACTGAACAAAGTACTGAACAAAGTACGACTTTCTTAAAAAAATGTCGCTGCCAGGGTTGGGGCCATTCCGGAATGCATTCATCAACTGCAGTCCAAATCAGGAAATGGAACTGTAGTTGGGATTGGAAAAAAAATCATGGGGAATTGAATTTGAATTTCAGGGAGATTTAAATTCTTACTCTAGTTCCATTTCCTGATTTGGATTGGAATTGACGAATGCATTCCGGAATGGCCCCAACCCTGCTCACAACCGTTACATTTATCAACACTATTTTAATGTTTTAATGCACTATTATGCAGTTGCAGTTAATTTTCCTTATATGTGAAGCACATTTTAATTAAATTATATTCACAATCCTCAATTCCAAAAAAAGTTGACACAGTAAGTAAAATGCAAATCAAAACAGCAGATGGTAATTTGTAAATCCATCAACTCCTTTATTTTCTGGGAACTCATCCCATATTTAATGCCTGCCACATGTTCCAAAGGAAGCTGTGGCAAGACCATCCTAAAAAGGGTGTCGTTTATGAGCAGGGACGGGTCGAGGCCTGCATGATCCCCGCGGCGGCACTGCATTAAAGCCCAATATGCTCCTGTGATGGATATAACCAAATGGGTGCATGAATACTTTGGAAAACCATTATCAATAAACACTGATTCTCGCTGCATCCACAAATGCAAGTTAAGACCGTACCCTGCAAAGCGGAGGCCACATGGCAACAACACGCAGAGAATCGGCACTTTTGTGTACAGAATGTTTAAGTAAATCAACCACAAAAAAGGGAAAAGTGCACATATAAACAGTTAAACTTTTCATAATTGGCATATATATATATATATATATATATATTTAGTGTACAATTTTATCCAAAGTGAAGTACAACTGAAAAGGTGAAAAGTGTGAAGTTATTGTTTTGTTGTGCGAAAAGTCTCTGAAGCAAATGGGAGTTTAAGGGCCCTTTCACAGGGGCCCAGCAGTAAAATCACTCTGCCGATCCTGGGATTAGAACAGGCGACCTCCCAATCATGGGCACAGCATCCCAAACCCGCCGAGCCGCACGCTACCCCCCTTTATGACAGGGGACTTGAGGCCACGCCCTTCCAGGTACAAGCACAGGATCCTCACTCACAGAGCTATATGACATCATATACATAAAAAGCATTGTGTGCAAGGTGTACAGAGTGTACAATCATGCGTGGCTTAAAAATGGGGGATACATCCTGAGAAATGCATTTCATTTCATCATTGTGCGAATATCATAGAATGTATTTACACAAACATAGATGGTAGAGCCTACTACACACATAGGCTACATGGTATAGCCTAAATAACGATAAAAATTACAGTACACATTACACATAAACCAGTAACAGTGGCATATTATCATTATCATATATCATGTACTGCACATAATTGTATGTGCTATACTTTTATATGACTGGCAGCACAGTAAGTTTGTTTACACCAGCATCACCACAAACACATGACTCTACTAAGTCACTAGACAGGAATTTTTGAGCTCCGTTACAATCATACGGGACCGCCGTAACATATGCGGTCCGGCGTTGACCAAAACGTTGTTATGCAGAGCATGATTGAATACAGATCTCTACATTTCAGAGTTTGGAATAAACTTTATAGCCATCATGAAGGTGCCCAGGGATCCATCAAACGTTTGTGAAAGATGTTCAGCACCACATTGCTGAACAGCAGCCACATCCACCCGCAGGAAACCGCAGATCCAGCCACGAAAATCGTAAACAGAGTGCTAATTACTACAGAAAGAGGGTGGGAAGATTTCCCTGGATGTGGCTTGAAACCCGCACTGTGGGGGCGAAAGGGAGGAAAGAGCGATTTGTGAGTAACCTGCTTATACTTCCACTACATGTCCACCCTGGGTGCACTGCTACCTCCTAGCCTGCAGTGTTTCTCTGACATAATGAAGAATGGTCAACGGCCCAGTATCCCCCTATACTCAGTTTTTATGCATATTGATATACAGAAAGGTAATGATGCATAAGGGAGGAGACCGCAGTACTCAGAAAACCACTCTGAGTAGAACATTTTTATTGAAAATGAAGGCATTCAACTATAGTTTATTAACACACAACAGGCCCTTAAAGCATTGTACAACACAGTCCATGTCAAGTACTGCACAAATCGTAATGTGAGGATCGATGCATCACAAAAAGCAGGAATCTGTCAGATGTACAATCCATGTGTCCAAGGTCCACTACCTTGCATAACATACCAAAAAAAAACCAGTTCACCTGGTGTAAGTACAGTCTCATTGTTAAGCTGACAAACACTATTAATTTGTTCTTGCATTAATATCAATAACATTACCTTTGAGCTTCGTTGTCACATTCAGTAGAAGAATGCATATCACCACTTCCATTAGGTTTGTAACCTGTTGTCGTAACATTTTTTTTTTTTTGTTTCAGGTTAATTCAACTCTCACGTGAGCTGAATGCAGTAACCCTCTTGCTATACATTTCCCTATTGAAATAAGGTTTTTATGTTTGATAAAGGCTGCGTTTTTTGGTAGACCCGAATCTTGTAATGTATTTTTGCCAGTTAGCAGAAAATTAGCCTCACCTGTGGAAGGACCTCCAGGTTCTGCTTGTTAGGCAGCCATACTGCTGAGTGATAAGATCCTCTGAAACGCAACCACTGCATGACTTAATATGTATCCTTAAATTATGGCAAAGTAGATATCTTAGATACCTGCGTGAAGTTGGCCCCCCATATGTTTCAGATTTCAACCAAACTGGTCTCAATCGTATGTGCCGCGTTTGTGCCGGATTGTGCC